AAGCTTTTCAGGGAAAGAAAAAATGCAACAAAACTCATCTAATAGCCTAATACGATAATTTTGGAAATTTCGGAATTTTCCCGAAAATTTACGTAGGGAGTGTTCCAGCGCATAAGTGCAGCTTAGACACGGCAGACGAGATGTGCTCGACTGCTAATCCAAAAAAAAAAACAGAAAAAAGAGGCGGGATGCCTGCTCGATCAGACAACAAATACAGAAAAAAATGAATGAGAAATGCTCCTATTAACATTACTTTAGATCTGCAACGAGCAGAGCTGATGAGCTAGACGGCTTTACTTTGCAGATGCATTTTATAGCAGATGGATTAGCCCTCACCTAGCGGTTTGCACTTCAATAATGCTAGGTTTCCATCTGCTATAAAATGCATCTGCAAAGTAAAGCCGTCTAGCTCATCAGCTCTGCTCGTTGCAGATCTAAAGTAATGGTTAATAGGAGCATTTCTCATTCATTTTTTTCTGCATTTGTCAATAACCTCAAAGGAAATGAAAGATTCTATAGTCTTATTCTCAGCGGAGAATAGAGATTATGAAATACTAGCTGGCTTACCCGGCTCCGCCGTATCCGGACCAAACTTGGCACACATACACTTCGGGCCCCGGCGGGTGTCACAGTCCACTTTTCGTTATCGATCGATGTCGATTTTACCGATTTTTATCGATTTTTTTGCAGAATTCACCTACAGGGCTAGGAGTTGGCACAGGGGGGGAAGTGAGCATGGGGATTCCGAATACAATATTAGTTTCCAGAATTATCGATTACTTTTATTGATCTTATCGATTTTTTGTAAATTTTGACATGCGAGGCTGGGATTTTGCACAGGGGGTAATCGAGCATGCTGATTACGAACACAATATTAGTTTTCAGGATCGTCCATTACTTTTATCGGTTTTATCGATTTTTTTGTAAAGTTTGACCTGCGGGGCTGGGAGTTTGCACAGGGGGGTAATCGAGCATGCAGATTACGAATACAATATTAGTTTTCAAGATCATCCATTACTTTTATCGATTTTATCGATTTTTTGAAAATTCGAGCTAGGGGGCTGGAATTTGGCACAGGGGTGTAATAGCATGCTGATCACCCCCCTTGGGGATGATCAGCATGCTCGATTACCCCCCTGTGCCAACTCCCAGCCCCCTAGCTCAAACTTTGCAAAAAAATCGATAAAATCGATAAAAGTAATCGATAATCCCGAAAACCAATATTGTATTCGGAATCCCCATGCTCGATTACCCCCCCATGCGAACTCCCAGCCCCGTAGCTCAAACTTTGCAAAAAAAATCGATAAAATCGATAAAAGTAATCGATAATCCTGAAAACCAATATTGTATTCGGAATCCCCATGCTCGATTACCCCCCTGTGCCAACTCCCAGCCCCGTAGCTCAAACTTTGCAAAAAAATCGATAAAATCGATAAAAGTAATCGATAATCCTGAAAACCAATATTGTATTCGGAATCCCCATGCTCGATTACCCCCCTGTGCCAACTCCCAGCCCCGTAGGTGAACTCAGCAAAAAAATCGATAAAAATCGATAAAATCGATATCGATCGATGACGAAAAGTAGCCTATGACACGCGCCGGGGCCCGAAGTGTATGTGTGCCAAGTTTGGTCCGGATCGGTTCAGAAATGGAATTTTCTATTCGGAACATACGTACACACAGACAGACATACAGACATACATACATACATACATACATACATACAAACAGACATTCAGCTTTATATATAAGATAAGAGAAATAGGAAATTTTTTTAGAGACACTTCGTCTCACAACACATACTCCTTCCAGTTGAAAACAAACCATAAAGCAGCAGGCACACCTTACGGGATTTCAGTCGCCATGCGACCTGGCAATTTTCCAGATGTCTTCAAATTCAATAGTGGCAGACTACACAAGCACAGCATGTATAGCTTTCGTAGGCTGATAAAATGTCCTGTCTCCATACTTCAGAAACTCCCTACGATGAGTTACAGACAATTGGAGTATTGCCAAATCTCGCGAAGTATGACCAAGACCTAAAACTTGCATTGCTGTTTCGGACTCAATCGCAGAATGTCAATTTTTGGCGATTTGACAAAAAACGGCGCTCGAGTACTTTATTTCTACCGTTTCTACAGCTGATATCTGATTTGAGTTAAAGCTTCTGTCGAAAGGCCAGATTTACTCTACCCATTAAACTGACCCAGGGATAAATTGTACATATGAAATTGAGTTTTTAAAACGACATACATGGGATGTTACACGAATCCGCAGATTTTCATAATTACAGTAAGACACAAAACTTGGCTCCAGCTGACTAGAAACGCCTTCATTTCTCCGAAAATTTATTCTCGAAATATTGCCTCTTATTCAGCATGCCAAAGATTGGAACTATTTCTGCCCTTGCGAACAGCAATTTGAATTCATCAAGAAACATTAAATTTTTGACATTTTTTAAAAATATTTTTTGTATCGTTACATTTTGATTGATATGTGAGCGTGCTCTCTATGATTTTTAACCTAGCTTTTTTCCCTTCTCACACAATTTTTTCGCATGTGATCATCATAACAGCGTACAACGGAAGTACGCGTTTGTATATACCTACACATGAAGAAAAAAGCATCGAATCAAAAATATCATTTCATTCCCAGAACCTTGTTTGTTATGTTTGCAATTAAAATGAGAATTTAATTTCGGAAATTTTGCATCAAGGGGTCCTATGAAACAGAAGTTTATTCTCAGTTGTGAGCTCCATAGAACATAACAAAGTTATTTGTACTTTTCAAGAGTATGGTAACCAGAAAAATAAGTGATTGTTATTTTCAGTAATTTTTTGATACAACGTGCTTTCAGTGTGGATATTTATCAGGAATGAATAAAAAACCAGACCAAATAACGGGATTAGTAAATGTGTGGAGGAACAGATGGAGAAAAGATAGAAAGCATAGTTGATATTCACCTAAATGAGTTTTTGGGGTGGGAAAGTGTTTAGAAGAGGCAGTTAACAACAAATTCTATATGGAGATGAACAGATTTTTCACAAAGAAAAAGTGGAAGAATGTGCACGATTCATATGAAAGATGTTCAGAAAAGTTCCCCATCTGTAAAATAGAACATACCATCTAATTCACTGCAAGCGGATACACTTGACCTGACCAGCACCGGATTTATGACGTTTGTAACGACCTATAAAATCCGAACAAAACGACGCGGGAAGGAAAAGTATGAATAAGCCAATGAAGCGTGAGGCTTAATAGACTTCGATGTTGCGGGGTTGACTGATCCGTTATTTTCATCTTTATTCATATGTTGCAAGATCTCTTAAAAAATCAAACTTTCGAGTTGATAAGAAAATAAGGATTACAAAATATATAAAAAAAATAAAAAAGCATAAAAATATTTAAAAAACAGAAAAAAATATATAAAGTAAATGAATAAATATAAACAAAATAAATTTAAATAAACAAATATAGATATAAAAATCCACAAAAAATATAAAATTTGGAATCAATATTTACATGCAGAAGAATCATCGTAATTCACAGATATACATGCAGATAATTTATTTCAATTTCCATATTGACAATTTTTCATCCTGAGAAGCGGCTATCAACAATTCATCATTTCCTATTTTCCTCCACAACAGCTGTGTGATGGTTTCCGTGTGTAGATTGAGATAGACAAGAATGCTGAGTTTATGTACACTGTAAGCCCGAATGGATCCGTCCCAGAATCCAGCCACAAGGGTTTTCCCAGAGCTGGAGAATATCAGCGCTCCTACACCACGGGCACTGCAAATACGAAATTCAATGATGAAAAATAAATGCGGATAAGAGGAAAATCCTTTCTTGGATTTTATTCTCCTTCCGAAGAAATCAGAAAATTTCTCCTAGAAAAGTTTCGTCAATTCTTATAGATTTTATAGAATCATTACAGCACTCTATTACCAAAGACAGTCACCACCATTTTTATAATGTAGAACTTTGAATCTAATTCCAGCTATCCATTCTCAAAGGACACCTCTCCCTCTCTGCTCAGTCCGCCGTAGTCAAAATGAAAAAAAAAGTTACGAAGAAAAAACGACAACATTTTCGGCCTGTTCACTGTTCATTGGTCTTTTGATCCAAGGAGCTTTTGCACTCATTACAAAAAGGATAAATCATGAAATTCCATAAATTATATCATCTTGCGCATCAGCATCTAAAAACCGCAAGACCTTGCATCTGAGAACCTCATCTCCACAACTCGAAAGCAAAGTTATTGGCTTTCTGTTTCAAGTATAACGTGCTGAGCACCTACTGCAAACATATCTATGTGATATTGTAAACTCTCAGACGATGTGCTTGGCACTTCTTCACTGCCTCGCATGACCAGTTTACTGCAGTTTCGATAAAAGTGTCAGTCACTTGCAAGCAAATGGTTTCTAATAACATAAGAACTTTGCAGATGACTTCTCGGCATTTCTAGCATCTACTCGGACGATGGGACGTAAAGCGAAACAACTAGGAAAATTCGAATTCTTAAGACCTGATACCTCGCAAAAAAAAGGACTTTTTGCACCGCTACAGTACGCTGCTACAGTCAAGTTAGGGCAAATTATACGCACTTTTCTCTGTGCAAATTCGCGCGCTAAAAACTGTCCTCTATTCCCCTTTCCCAATGGCGCTGGGAAGGTGCTAGCGATTATGGAACTTACAGCATGCGATTGTGAACTTGTAACTTGTAACTGCGATTGTCGGTGCAAAAAGTCCACATTTGTAGAAAAAATTCGCGCACAATTTCTTTGCAGTGGAAATTACGGTAGGTGACTATTCGACTTCTAAAGTTTCACTATTCAGAAAGCTTTAATGGCACAAATTTAGAAGTGTATTAGCCAGCGTATTGACAGGATATTTTGCAAAATATGCAATTTTGCAAATTAATCGCTATCGTATTATCTGCACTTTTGCACAATGAGCGTGTTCATCCGTTTGCTGCAGATGGCTTTCACAATAGCCTGATAGTCATTAAATTACTAAATAAAAAGATGAAGAGCACTTGCCTGGGAGGATAATCTATTTTTCGCCGTTCTCCGCAAATGTCGGCTGTTTCGAGCAAAAAGAGCGGCGGCTTCGATGAGCCACAAGCGAGATGCGTTGTAGTGCTGGCGATGCAAAATACTGGTTCTTTGTATAGGGACACCTAAAATAAGGAAACAATTATATTTTGGGATATTTCTCATAAAAGGCACTTTTGCACCACTACAGTATGCCACAACGCATGCATGGCGACTTAGATGCAGTATTTGCGCGCTGCGACACTTTACATGAGCTCTTAATTCAGAATCGCTTACACAAAAAGCATTGCGAGCACAGCTCAACCAATACTTGACAAAAGAGTACGGTAGCATACGGTGTAAGTGCGCAAAATTGTCCAAACCACCCAAACTCACCTCAGTCTCAATCTTCCCCTGTAAAGAGACTCGTGTTACAGTACCAGTTTCGTCTCCAACATAAATATTTTCATCTACAGATGTAAGCGATAATGGCAGCTGCTTCAGAGAAACTTGGACTTGGTCCTTTGAAATCATAGAAACGATATGCAGGTAATGCTTTTCATTCTGAATCAGAAACTCTCCAAAGTTGGGTAAGAATCTATGCTCATTCAAACTTACAGAAGTATCCGGATATACAAGAGCGGGTCCAATCATTGTAACCCTACAGTAACCACAATGGTTCAAATTCACAATGTGACGGGTTTCATTGCTGGGACCAATAAAAATCACGCCATAGTTACGTATATGCACCCACATCATGTCATCATAAGCGCCTACTGAGGAGATAGAACGCCTTTCAGGATCTTCTGTAAGAGATGCGACTACGATACAGCTTCAAAAACAATTAATTCTCATCATATTAAGAAAAGAAAATTTCGCCATCCTTTCTGAAGACATCAAAACGAGTGCCCGGTGAATTTTTTTCCCTACCACTTCTGATTTGCTCGCATGCTACAGACACTAGCAGAAGCCTAGTGCTGCCAGGCTACAGTCTGTCTCAATCGTAGTGTTCCCCTTTATCCGGTTCATCCGCCTCGCACATGACATGCGCGACGTCCGCTACCGTCTGGCTTGTGCAGTAGGACTTGCTTAATCGATCCGAAGGCCGTATACGAAGCTCCAGCGCTACCTATGCGTGCCAAGGAAAAGGGACAGTGCATTTGATGCTGACTGTATGTTGGGTTCATGACCGTCTTTAGAAGGCAGCGTACCTGCAAAAAAATGGGTAATGGGATTTTACAGCATTGCAACGGCAGACTCCCCAACCAATCCATCAGTGAAGTCTGGAGCAAAAAAGCGCATCTGGAAAGCCTGAAATCCAGTCCAGAACTCTTCCGACCCCGCCCCTTCGTTCCAGACCCCGCCCCTTACACATGTTTCCCAGCTAAGGCAGACATGAAAATCTTCGAAAAAAAAAACCATTTTGAAATTTTCAAGCACTGCAAAGCCCAGATATGGGTTTAGCATGACGAGAAGGCCCCGAAAAGGTGGAAAAGCGAAGATCGAAATTTTGCAGGGACACTTCCTCTAACCAGTGCGCTAGCGCTTGCAGCTCACACCTCCCCAATGGTGGTGCTCGACAGCCGCGCCGCTTGACTAACCATCCACCTTTATCTGGGACTAAAGCTTACGCGTTTCTTGAGTTCGCTCACCTACACCCGGTAAGCAGACCACGAAAATCAAAGATTGTTTTTTCAGTCAACAATTATTTTTTCCAGTCGGGTGACGAGTGTGCAGTAACATGAGACGAGGCGCCACTATGACCAGATTGGACCTAAAGTCGATTCCGCTCCTAGGCCAACCAAGCCCTCTACCCTCCGAGGCCGGTAAAATGGTACCAAAGTAATCTAAGAGGATTGTAGCATTGATTAGTTTATCGGCAGGCTCCTGCAAGTTACTGTAAAGGGCTCGCAGGCATTTAGTAACCCCCCTCGACAATGAAGTAAAGTGCGTTAGGTGCATGCCCGCAAAGGGTATTAAAGACACCAAACCCTTTATCCTTTTGTTTTTTCAAACAGTTTTCAAAGGCTTTGTATCTTGATAGTATAAAAATTACCGTAAACTTTCCGCAACAACATATGCGTCTCTGCATCGTACACTTCGCATTTTCCAACACCAGTGCCTATCATGACTGCCTTCATGTTGTCAATATCGATAACCTCACAAGATGTCACTCCTCCAATGAAGCCATAGTGCACAAAAATCGGTTGTGGTGGAGGCCGAGACATACGGCTATCGAGTCCGAAATCAAAAATAGCTGATTGAAGGTCGCACCCAGATAATCGAAAAAGGTGGATTATCGCTTCCGATACAACAATACTTGTATGATGCTATGATACATAATTTACTTATATACAAATTTCAGATAAACAATCAGTAGATAACTTCAACAACAAAAATTGCTAATATTGGGTACCCTGGTTTATAAAAAGTAAACAAAAAGTAACTATCAACAAGAGAAAAAGAAACAGATGGAATAACTCGTAACAATATGAACCGGAGATCGCTAGCGTTGCAAGAATAGATCACAAGCAAGAAACCGCTTCGAGGCTGGGATAACGAGTGACAGAACTATCGAGCATCGCGTTCTCGGCGTTCTTTCTAAACTTGTAGATGTAATAGATAGATAACAAATAAATTCAGATAAATTCAAACATTGTTCACAGAAATGAAGGAAAATGTGACCCTAGGCACATTATTCTGTTGAGTATATTAACTATCAAAAGCGATAAAAATACGAGTGCTGCTTTGGCGCAGAGCGACTCATACGTTAAAATCGCTTTTTCGGGATCCATGAGGGCAAAAATCTCGCGATATGGATAGGAGATAAAGCAACTGGCGAAATAAAGCAAATGAGTGCATAGTGTCCTTAGAAAAAAATGTTTAGATAACCCGAGAACTGCTTACTCTTTCGCGATCTCGTCGATCCAGTCGTATTCGCTCTCGCTCCTTATCCTCCTTATGTTCTTTCTCATCCTTGGCTTTATCCTTCTTTTCATCTTTGTCTTTGATCATATTTATTATAGCTTCACTGAAAGTAATAAAATTTCAGAAATTGTTGTGTGAACGATTAAGGTATGGAGCTGTTCACACTCCTTTCACACTTAGGAGTTTTTCGTTAGTCACACAACTGTGCAAAATAAACACGTGAAAATTTAGGATGGCTGCCTCAAAGCTGTACCATCAAATGGTTTCGATAAAGTATTCAAAAGTGTTCCCAAGCTTTTCGGCTTCAACAATTGAACTCGGTAAAGTTTTTGCGAAATTTAGAGAAGAATGTTTTCAGCATTTGAAAAAAGTTGACTTGAAAGAAAAGAATTTGAGAACTGCATAGAAGCAAAAATGAGAAGAAAAACAGATCTGTCTACTAATAAAGCTACTTGACTCACTTGATGTTCTTTTGCTGATGGGTTGATAAAGTGGGAAGGAATTCCTTCAATGCCGATAGCGTTTCAGCACGGTTGCTGTATGCCAAAAACTCTTCAAATTCTTCCATAGTAAACTTGGTCAAAATGGCCTGAAAATAAGGAGAAGATGTATTTGATAACGCGCTAGGTAGTGCAACTTACAGAATAAGCAACAGTTTTGAGGCTATTGAGAGCTCTATAGAAAGCCTTCCGAGTGATTTCATCACGTGAGGAAAGATCCTTGGCTATGACTTTTTGAACAATATTTCCAAGAAAACTGTCCAAAGACGGGTACTGTAATAGGACTGGATTAATGAAGATCAACATCTGAACGAAAATTTATGTCATATCATACCTTTTTGTACACAATTACAAGGGTGCAGTAAAATAGTGCTGGAAGCGGATTGAGATCCATAAGCCGCTCTATTCCATCAGCCACCGCTTCTCTGGTCATAGCCCGTGAATCCAGCAATTCCCGCAAATCTACAAACAAATTTTCGAGGTAGCAACAACCGTAAAGAGATGTAAGTACGAACTTACTAGCAGTCTGCACTTCAAACTCCTCCGAGGACGATGGTTGCACTTTGTGGTATTCGTAGATGAGCTCAGGAGCGCTGAGAGTCGGTTCACCCGTGTCCACATCTGAATCATTAGTTAACAAAGATGATAAGGGAAAAGTACAAGCAGTGAGAGGAGAGCAATGAATGGTAAAAAATAGAAAAGGAAAGAAATCATTTGAAAAAGTACAGCAGCAATCTCAAAAGACTCACTCTTTCCAGTGAGCAACTTCTTGAAAACAAGTCCTACAGAATTCTGATAAGCAGGCTTCAATATGAACAAAGGCAAGATCCTGATGATGTCCTCCTGCAAGGTAGGGTACAGCTAATAATGTAGGTAACAAAGACAAATAGAGCTCACCCTCTCTAGACCATTGATGACAGGAATGAGCGAGCGAACGTCGGTGTTTCGTGATTCGTGAAGCGCCTTCATTCGCGACACCACTTCCCTGGTTGCAGTATCTGAAAATGCTGCAAAATGCAAGCAAACAGCAGAATTAAGAGCAACTAACGTCTTTCAGTTAACAAGTGCACTACTCGAGCCACGAAAGATTCGGCTCCAACGGGACACTCTTCGAGCAAATGCAGCATGTCCTGGTTGTCCATTCCAATTGCTTTTATGGCGGTTTCGATCGATCTCAGCATTATCTGAGGAAAAGAGTTAACCCATGAAAAAAAACTGGTGCAAAACGAAAAACTTACCTTCTTAAGAAGTGTTGATGATTTCGTATAAGCTTCGGCTAATGGAAAAAGTAGTGAAGTATCCAAAGGAAGAATTGCGAGGTAGAGATATATCCCGCTGCGGTAGATAGCTTCGTTGAATTCTTTGGCATTCTGAACAGAACAAGGATAGCCTCTTGTAGACTTTGATGAACGATCTGAGATATAATCCACAAATCAACTACAAAAACCAAAAGAGACTCACGCTATAGCTAACAAAATGTGGAGGAGGCGTTGGCAAAGTGCATTCGTTCAACTGCTCAATGAGTTTCATCTTCAGATCACGATGCATGTATTTCAAAGAGCATAATTCTTTGAGTGTATCAACACACAACTGCTTCACCTAGAATCCAAGAATTTAGTGTAGGAGAAGAAACGAACTGCTATCACAAACTTGCCTCATTACGCTCATGGAAACATAATTTAAACAGCATATCGATAAGTTCTCCACGTTGTCGATTTCGTGTTAGCAAAAGTTCTCGCAAAGTAGTCATGCCGAAGGCGCAGTATAACTAAAAGATATTTGTTTTCTAGGATTAAGATAAGGAAGCAGCAAAATTATTTCTTGACTTTACAATCAAAAGAGGGGTCGCAGAAGGTAAAAGAAATAAATATAACGTAAATTTAGTAAAACAAGACTACAGCGCCACCTACCTCATCCAAACAAGCTTTTTCCAAAATCTTTAACGCATTCGTTGTAACAAGTGGACAATCCAAAAGAAGCTTGTGAAACAACCTATAACGCACAATGTAGCGTATAATGCTAGAAATCCGCCTGTAGTTCAAACTTACGCTTCCTTGTGTTGGCCTTTGTCTAGTAGCTTTTGCAACAAGCTGCATAGAGTAGTGTCGAATCTCTCAAACAGCTCACTCCTTGGCGCTCGGCCAAAGTTTGACATATAATCATGATTGAAGCACACAGTAAATCTGAAAATCTCAGTAAAGAAAAAGCTTCCCGTTAACAATGTAGTCTCACCCTTGATATTGCGAATACAACTCTGTTACCCATAAAAGAGCAAGATCGGTTCGATATCGATGTTGCGACACATCAACAATAAACTCGATAAGTTCATCATACAATTTCTGTGGCAGTGGATGGAATCGAGTAGCTATTCGGACTAGCACAACATGATGCATAGACATGGTACCTCCTTGTCGTGCTCGCCCTTGAAAAGCATGCATTTTACGAGATGGAAAATGAGGAGTATTGAATAACTCACTTTCAGCCTTCATTATGGATATGAAGCAACTGTCAAACAAGGCTTCCATTTCCTCCTTCGAAAGTTCTTTGGTATTCGTGAACAAGTTGAATTGCTGTTTGATTTTGGGAACTGCCGGAAGCGGTGTTGCTGTCTGAACGACAAGGTAAATCTCACGCAAACCCGATTTGAGAGAAAAAAACTGCACAAAGCTCACCGGTCCGGGCAGCGCCCCTACTGGAACTAACGGTGGTTTCTGCTTCTGATGGCCACCTAAGTGTACAGCTGGAGTAGGGGGAACGAATGCACCGTCTCTGCGAGCAGATTGTCTCTCTAAGAATGAACTAATCAACATGTAAAAGTAACGAGGATGAGAGACGAGGAAGTGCGAGAAAGAAATGATAGGAATGAAGGGAAGTATGAAAAGGGTATGAATGAAAAAGTATAGAAAACACTGCATTAAACCATCGAAACGAAAACATACCCATAAACTTGGCCAATTTCTCCTTTCGCATTTGCTCCGCACCAGGTCCCAATTCTTGAGCAGTAGCTTGTGTGGCCATACTTCGAGCCAGATGGCGACGATGTTGCTATAGACATTAAGATGAACATTAACATATGAGTCTCAATTAACACTATTTATACCTCTGTTCCAGCAGTTGCTATCTGCGTAAAACTCGAAGCAAAGGCTGCAGGCATTTCATCTGGCAGGGTAACCTAAAAATTGATTTGAGAGTGAGCCAAAGAGAAGAAATACTCGACCTACCAGAGAGATGAGCACAAGATTAGCTACAAGCTTAGGATTCAGTCGCTCGTAGATCCACTCTGCTGTGATATCTATCGCTGACTGATGAGCAGAATCTGGGATCGCAGCTGATGTGTCCGAAGTAGAGGGTTCATCGTCTTGGTACTCGTCATCGTCCAAAACAACTGGAAAATGTGAATCTAGCACCTTTCTAGTCAGATTGTTCGGCAGTTTGCATAAAAAATGGATGTAAAAGGGAAAACGGCTATTACTTCGACACGGACACCCCAATACTCGCACCAGAAGCTTGGATTGTGAAAATCAGAATCATTTGAAATCACTGAGCTTCTTCAAGAACATACAACTAATTGTAGATCACTCGAAAGCTTTCAGTCTGTTTTGATATTACCTGAGAGGTCAGCAAGCAGAAACCTAAGTGCGCGAAAACGGTGGAAAAAAGCCCGCGTTAACGTTGCTGTGAAGTCCTGGGGCACAGATCAAAGCCATAACATTGATATGAAAAATGGGATTTTGCCAATAAATTAACAATTCCAAAAAAGCTGTTCGATATTTTTGTACTAACTCAAAAAACCCTTCCTTTTTGTAGTTTCGCGGCAACTATATAATTTTGAGAGGGAGAAATCTAAGCTTTTCATGATGGCAAGATTGCGTACAAAATTCCAAGAAAAGGTGTATCTTGTTAAGATAGACACTTTACCAAGAAATAAACCGATTATATTGCATTACGACCGCAAAATAGTGAGAACTAAGGATCCTTGGATGAAAATTTTCCTGTGATACTTCATAGAGCTTGCAGCGTAACATCATAAGTATGTACAGAAAAAAATAGAAAAAATAGATATGTAAGTGAAAATACGTGAATTAAGAAAGTAGCAAGTAAGGTATGACAGTCAAGTCTTGATGCTTACCTCCAGGACCTTCGTCACTGCTCCTCGCTTTCTTTCTTGCTGCTGGCTCTTCAGTCGAACTCTGTCGTTTCGACGCTTTCTTGCGTAATTCGGCAATATTTGGTGGCATGTTCCTATTGATCTCCTAAAACAAAAGAAAAATACATGGATGAGCAGCCACTCACACAGCTTACACTTTGTGAAGCTCCTAAGTCGGTCAACAGAGTGGTTATCCTCGGGTGAAGATGCAGAGAAGATGAATGCTTGAGGATTCGCAAAAGATGAGCTTTCAGCTCTTTCCTCATAGATTTTACCTAAACCAAAATTGTATGAGTTTCTAGAGTCAGGAACATAATGCAAAAGCTTACCTGACTTGCACCAAGTGTGGGAGGCAGGTTGATATGAAGCGCCTCAAGGCAGTCCAAAATTCGCGCCATATATTCGGGCCTCCGTCTTGCAATAGTGCAAAGAACCGTAAGAACAGTGAGCAGATTCTGAAAGTCATAAGAAAAAGTAAATAATAAAGTAAAAAAGGGTATGAGCATCAAACTGCATACTTGAGCGGAGATATGTGGCAATGTGGTCTGATCTAAAAGCGATTGAAGATTGAGCGTTGCTTCTGACTGGAGCTTTCGATACGAGATAAATCGATGGTCTCGAGGGACATCGCTAAGTGACATCACATCTTCACCTCTACTAGTATCGCTTTCCTAAATCCAGCGTTGATGAGGAGATAACTTATAAAGAAAAAAAACCATACCTCAGTCTTCGGAGACTGCGATAATACAATCGCTTCCAAAAACTTGAACGTCATTGTCCGAATTCTGTAGAAAACTACACATATGGTAAATTTCTGAACTCTACACATGGAACACAATAAAATAGACGTACCCTTCATTGTCCGAATCCGCATGACTGACTATGCGTCCCTTGAGCACAGAAAATGCCTCCCAGCATTTTTCAGCATCACTATCTACCTTTCTACTGCAAGCCCATTTCAGAATATAAGGATAGATGTTGGCACAGACTGTTATGACCTAAACTATATCTTACGGATTTCGAATCAGGTACAGAACCGACAAGATTTGCTCTTCATACAAATATGGGCAAACTTTGAATGTTGTTGAGTGAGGAATTCTAGTATATCACTGAGAAATTAAACTACTATAACTAGAACTGGGTTCTCAAAATGAGGAAAACAAGATGAAATAGTAAAAAAAGTGCAAAAATCAGTTTCTATAGATGCGTAAAATAGAGTCTAGAAGAAAGCACCACGAATAAAGGTAGAGATACAAATTAAAAGATGGAGAAAAAACCGATCTGATTATGTAACACCATCAAAAGCAAAACGATCTTCTTACAAAATAGCGCATACCGTACCCGTTTCATGACCATTACCCCTCCTCGAGATTGGCTATCCGACATCAGCAAATACGACAGGTGTGCGATCGCTTTCTTCAATACATCGGCATCTCTTTTGCTTAAAAACTCCATATCATAAAAAAGAATGAACTCCAGGGATCGCTATGAGGTAAGTAAATAGAAGCTTCTCACCAAGCTTTCTCTATGAAATTTGCAGAGAAACACCGCATATGATAATCCTCGGAAGATGTGAACTCAAGCATTTCATCTAGAAAATTATCCAACAAATGACCAGAACTATCAGCGCTCAGTAGCATATCTTGGGCCTAAAAAGAGATGAACTTCTTAAGCCAATTAATGTGCACGACTTACCTTATTAAGGCAATCCAGCTTTTGTTTGACATCGGAAGTTCCTTGCGCATCTCGAAGAAGTCCGCCAATTTTATCAGCGATCATGTCACTATTTTCCAGAGGTTCGATCAAACCTCCCGGATTCTCCATGATGCCTTGAACAGCACAAATTCACTCAAGCTCTGTGTATATACCTTAAAGTAGAGAGAGAGAGAGAGAGAGAGAGAGAGAGAGAGAGAGAGAGAGAGAGAGAGAGAGAGAGAAAACTTTCATTATGCAAACTGAGAACGATCAAAATTGGAAGATTTGTTTAGCGACAGATCAGAAAATCATAAAGAACTTAAGACCTTACTCTACTATATAGAGACTCAAAAACAATAGAGCTCGAAGCAGAAAAAAGTTGTTCCTATCTGCTCGCGCAGCAAGCAATCACTGAGGCCCTGGCCAGAGTTCGCTCAAAAGCGCCCAGAAGCGCTCAAAAACGCTCAAAAGCGCCCAAAAGTGCCTAAATTTCTCTGGTGTCTCTTCAATTTCTTTTGTGAGGAGAGATTAGAGAAGTTTGGGCGCTTTTGAGCGCTTTTGGGCGAAGTCTGGCCAGCACCTGAATGATGTTTGAAGAATGTGAGTCGATAGCAACAAAAGCTACGTTTTCTATCGACTATCCGCAGGAATAATAAAACTCTAGAAAAAAGAAAAGAAAAAACAAGCTCATTTTACATTCAAAGAACGCGTTTCTACGTGATTCTGCAACTACGGACATCACGCATCCTGCTCGGTACAGTATGCAATTGGGCTGGCAAATATGTTTGCAAAACGCGACCATGAATACTGCACAAATTCTAATTGACGTGTTCACGAATATCACATTCTTTATGTATAAAAATGTCTGTCGGTGTGGTTATGTGGGTATACGCTAGGAGGGGTAAGGAATCAACATCACGAATTTGGCTGAAATTTGACCTAGGGAGATCTAACATGCTGATCGCAAGTACAATGTTTTCACAAGGCGTTTTCATGGAATTACGATAGACGGTAAGTCAAAACCACTCAGACATTTGCGGTTAAGTCCCACAGAAGATGGGAGGGCGTGCAGGAGTTCCTAACACCTTTCCTCGCACCAAGTTCGCACCATCAATCGCACCCAGGAGGGTTCTAGCACCTCCGCATCTCAGAGGTCAGGGACCGCCCATTGCTCCACCCATTAACTGCCTTCATTGTGAGGTGAGCAAATAGAGAGAACAGAGAATTATAATAGAAATTGAAGTATAATAGAAATTGAAGTATTGAGAAAGAAAAAATTGGAAAAAAGAAGTAGTTGTCATTTCATCGTAGAACTATTTGGAAATAACCATGAGCATGTGATTTTCACTGATTACAAACTGCAGTAATAAGTGCGCTTTATTCGATTTAGTATCAAAACTTTGGTATGAATGCAGCGGTGTTTTTTAAATTGGCGGGTACCAGTTTAGATATAAAAAACTCTAGGGATAAACGTTGCCACTCTCTGGATCATTCGATTTGAAATGATTGTTTGGAATGAAAAATCGGCTGCTCAGGTATATAAATGAAAATTGATCACTTGTGAATTTTTTTGAAGAAAATCGGTCATATTATTAGAAGGTTTCGAAATTTACATATTAGGTGGCCAATTTAAATGCTGGCTTAGGGCATGCAGCGTTCGACTTCCAAATGACTGTACTTATCAAAGGTAGAAATATACTTTTCGTAGATTCGACATTAGTAAAAATTTATTTTGTAACAAGTTCGGTTTCCTTCACTCTAATATACTGTTCATATGCTTGGATGTTTGTACGGACGCTTGTTAGAGACGTTCTCTTGTTCGGAGATTCGAGCGCTTGACACAAAATAATCATCTATAGCATAGCTAACAAAAGATTTCAAAGGGAGCAGGTAAAGGTGGCGAAGAAAGTGTTGCTTTATTTTTCTTTAAGACATAACTAACGCTGGTAACCGATTTTGTGAAATTATCTGCACTCATTCGATGTTTCTGATGTTTGAAAGAAAATTGAATTCAATTAACGAAATTTCTCGAATCAGCTTGATTCAATTGATCATCACTTTTTATTATACAATTTTGGTTGAACGCACTTAGGCGGCGGAGAAAAAGGCGGAGCCATTCCTCGACCTGTGAAGGTGTGATGTCCCTTCCAGGTTTCTCTGAAGGTGCTAATCACTCCTGCAAGAAAAGTCGGCGAGGCTTTGGGAACTCCTGCCACGCCGCCCGGAAGATGCGCTCACCAAATTAGAAATCGCGAGAAAATCGGGACTCTTGCGCGACACCGGTTTTGTCCCGACTTTCGGGATTATCCCGACAGAAAAACTGAAGCGGGAGATTATCGAGAGTTGTTTTGGGGCGCGCTCCCAGTGTCTGAGCATAAAGGATTCTTGCGTGAAATACGACGCTTGGTCAGACTACCCTCAATGTCCACAACTTTGGATGTGTTTCCAATCTTACAGGCAAGAACACTGTCAATATGTTGTTTAACGGACAATCTCTGATAGGATCTTGGCGCTATCCAATCTTGAACTCGATGGTTTCCAAAGCCGCTGTACGGTGGCCCCAATTGATTTCTGTATACGGGCGGGAGTTCCGCCGGTGACTGGATCGCGACATTATCGGGACTACCGCAGGAGCTCCCGGTTTTCTCAATAGGAGACATTTCGGGACAAAAACGCGTGTCGCGCAGTGTTATCCCGAACAAAATGCAGGAGTCCCGGTTTTCTGGCGAAGCATTTTACTTGAGTCCCGCAGTCATTCCGTCGGGACATAACTTTTTCACCGGCGGGACTGACCGCGAACGTCTAAGCACGAATTGCTCCAAAATTCGTCTAGGGGACTTATTTGTCGCGCTGAACTTGGTCGTCCTATTTATTTCGCAAGATGGGGCCATTTTTTGTGGTTCCGGCGCCTTCACAGTAGATGGGTTAAAGCCCAAAATTTGTTCAAAGCCTTGTGTAGAGTGACTTCAGCAAGCAAATTACGAATACTAGCTGGCTTACCCGGCTAAGGCCGGCCCTGTCAAAACACTGTGATGAAGCTCCCAACCTTATCCCTGTACAACCTTTTCCTGTGCCCACTTCTACATGCAATTCCCTATTTCCGCTAATTTAGTAATTGGCATGCTCAAGTACCCCCCCCCCCCCCCCGCGCAAACTCCCAGCCCAGTAGCTCAAACTTTGCAAAAAAATCGATGAAATCGATAAAAGTAACGGATCAAAAACTAATACTGTATTTGTAATCAGCATGCTCGATCACCCCGCTCAAACTTTACAAAAAATCGATAAAATCGACATTGATCGACAACGAAAAGTAGCCTACGACACCCGCCCCGCCCCGAAGTATATGTGTGCCAAGTTTGGTCCGGATCGGTTCAGAAATGGAATTTCTATTCGGAACATACGTACATACAGACAGATATACAGACATACATACAGACAAACAGCTTTATATATAAGATTATGCGTCTCGATGCAATAACGCTTTATTTTGGAGTTATGGCCATTTACAGCACATAAATGATTTTTTTTTCCTTTTTGTACTAAGTGAGAACCTAAAATTTGCTGAAAGGATTTATCATGCAAAATTAGCACGTTATTCTTGATTGGTAACCAATCTCCTGCACGAAGTTTCAAACAGATCTATGATTTTGAGCCCCCTACTAACCCGCGCGAAAACCCCAAGTCGGTTATGATGTTCCTGGTAGCACGTTGAATAACCCTCTAGATAGAACCAGCCATAAGAGTTTGAGCTCCTACCGGTTTACCTAATCAATTCGAGAAAGCCTCAAACGCAGAAAGTATGCAGTATTAGTGAGCACCATGTCGAACTTGGGCCAATTAAGAAATGTGGTGGGACCGGTGTTGATCTCCGACCTCAGCGCCTCCTTGACCTTCCACACGCCCAAAAGGGACTATATAGCCGACGCCACTCCGCCAGGACGTTCAATGGATAGCACTGCGATCAAGTCACCTCTAGCATTGTCTCATTTTCCGAGTTCCATTGATTCTCATTTTTAGTTTGATCTACTACCCCTCTCGGTTATTTTGCATCATGTTGTTGTCATTGCCATATTTGTCACTAGCGGTTACCCTGATGTGCCACTATAGGGCAACTAAACCACTGGGAGCCAACACACATCCGTTCAACGTTTATTGTGACACTCTTAGCTTAAAACAGAAGAGCCCGTTGACCCTCGAATCCGCCCGCTTTACTGCGGGATGATTAAGATGTAAGTCGGTTCCGCCACAAACGTAGCAAATGGCCGAACATCTCCAACGTGGCTCATTTGGCCTATTGCGCAACGGATTGTTCGCAAATCTCGACTGTGCAGGCGTACGCCCATTTTGATACTGATTGTTGTTAACCGGGTTATACGGCCCATTGTTAGTTCTAGTTCTGATGCATAAACTACTATTGCGTGCTTGATTGCAGACTGAGCAGTTTGCTTAGGAGCACTGGAAGCTATCGTGATTGTCTGCTAGACATTTCCAGCGAAGTGTTTTTGCTAAAACGCTTTTCTCTTGGCGTGTGCATCAGTTGCTTTGCTTACCGTGCCTAAATGGTCTCTGTTGCAAAGTATACATTGTCGTACTTTGCTTCTGGTATCTTCTTTATAGTGAAAATCGTTTTGGTGGTTCTCTTCCACGGTTTCTCAGTCTGGAATCCACAAACATTTTTGCCGAGATCTCCTTATCGAACTCCTTCATCAAATTCTCTATCGTGACCGCTCCTTTGTACTGAAATAATTGAGAACACTTTTTACAATATTTTGTGGGAATTTTTCTATAAATTTCTCCGTCCACAGAGCATCGTTACTTTTCCGGATCTTTGCAGGTAGCATATCCTCTAATTCATTACTTTGTCGGCCATTGCAGGTAGAATATCCTCTAAGTTTTGCACGATCCTTGTGCGATTTATCGGTTTATTACCGTATTTTCTTTTGAGTTCCTCAGTCATCCACGTATGATTCTGTGGAATCAGTTGTATCCCTTTCACAGTTAGCTCAGCCCTTCCTCTAAGGCTGTGTTTTGGAAAGAAATTTTTTCTATTGTGGTTAAACTTTTGTTTTAATCCACTAATGTGGTAAAGGTACCCCAAAATTCGGGAAATTCTTCTTCGTCTCCATAAAAGGGTGGTAGCTTCATTTGATGGAGTTTCAAACTTTAACAG